TCCCTGCTATTTTTTTTAACAATCAATTTTTCATTGTTTTCCATACACGTTTTAATTTTAATGAGGCATACCCATAGGGGCTAACTGCATGCTCCACAATAAAGAAAAATTATTTGAAGTTAAGCAAACCCTACAAAGAGTTACAGCTGTTGTTTGTTTGCAAAATATAAATAATGTAATCAATCACTTCAATAGAGATTACACACCATAATGCTACCCGATAACCTAGGTGTCAGGCCCTATGGCTTTTTTTTAGCTATAGTGCTTGACAAAGAACATTGTATTATTTAATACTAAGGCAGTTATAAGAATTTCTTCATGGTGATAATTTATCAATATAAACTGATACTACATCAGAATGTAGCAGCTCATTGTGCCTGGTGCTGACACCCCTAACCTTCTGACTGGCTGTTTGAGTTCCATAAATTATAGCTGAATATATTATTGCCTGCAAAACTTTAGTGCTGAAAAGTGGCATGTCCTTGGTGCAGAATTCATATGACAGCACAGAGATGAAGGCGGAAAGTTATGGCTTAATTTTATGTTTAGTGGACTTAAATGATCTCATCAAACATGCGGGGACAGACTACGAGGCAAGATAAAAAATTGATCCTACATATAATTAAGATGTTAATTCAAGTCATGTCCTGTGTTGTAGTTAATGACTGAAAGAATGTTAACATTCTAAACATGAATATTATAATTTACAAATATAAAAACCGCACATGCATAGTACAAATCCTGTTTTACTGCATAATAGGATAACAAGGATTCAATTAGTTTCAAATCCCCCTGTGTGACAGATTTTATTAACAGAGGGCATTTAAATCCTCAGTTTTGCGCACCAGTTTTATAATGGTCTTGTACCTGTATGTCTGTAAAAGATCTTCAAGCAACAAATTGTAACTGTCCATATGATTTTGTCTTCTTAGCTGGTTCACATCACCATGATCTATGCTGTATGTTAACCTCATAATTGCCCTATAGGGCATTACTTACCTAGATTTCTAGGTCTGTCAGTAACTGGGCTAATTCTATTCATAAAAACAAGATGACAGTTGATCATTTTTTGGTAGATCATGTGATCATCTCATGTGATCATCTCATGTCTAAAGGAGGCTCCTGCCAGCTATGCATATCTCCTTCCTCCAGGGGCTGACTGGCAACTTTTAGCCCAGGGGGCAAGTACAACCCAGAGGCCCATGGTGCGGCAACCCGGCCCCCTCCCGCTCTGCCTCTTCCCCGCATTCTCCCCGCCCCTGCCTGCCACTTTTGCCCCATCCTTGTAAAAGTAGTGTTAATGTATTTATCGGTTTAGGAAATGTAAAGCACACTGGTAGTGGAGGGATGCCACGTCAGGGCTGTGCGCGTGCATGACTGCTGTGACCCTGGAAGTTCTGCCACTAACTCAGAAATACATTGTACAGCATTGCAGAATGGCATTGGCTATAGAGGACTACAAATCCCAGCAATACATTACACAGCAATGCAGAATACCATCAGCTATAGCGGACTATAAATCCCAGCAATACATTACACAGCAATGCAGAACAGCATCAACTACAGAGGAATACAAATCCCAGCAATCTGACCCTCTCTGTAGCAAGAAACCTAATGACTGACTGAACCCAGTTGTCATACTTTTGTGCCTGTTGCCCAATCCAGCTACCTGAGGGTGGTCAGATTTTGCATACATCATCGTGTGAGTTGATCTCAAGCAGGATGATTCAACAGAGGGCAGATAAATTGCACATAATCCCACCCCAGCTATCAGCAAATCCTCCTAAATGCTAGAGGTGGGAAAGCGCTCAATGCTCAACAGTCCTGACCAGAGAAATCACCTAGTACTAACATGGCAGGAGACACACAAACTAGTGCCCTTGTTGCTATGTGAAGCATACCATGCAGGTAAATGTCAGGAGGGGGATGGCACTTTAAAAATTAAAACGAAAGAAAGAGATAAATTAAGATCTACAAAGATTTGTTATTATCCTCTGTACCTCATTTCATAAATACAGTTTATTGTTACCATTATGCTATGTGAACTTTTTTTTCGGTGTTTAGTCACAAATGGGATGAAAATCCTTAAAATGCACCAACACAACAAATTTGAAAACTTTATTAATCAAGAAATACAAAAGAAACCCCAAGTACCGAGCTGTAATTACGCATAAAACTTGTTACAACGTCCAGTTAATTGGCGATGCCTTTGTTTTGAACCAGCTATCTTCCCAATGTGTATACATAGTTCCTTTGCTCCATACTGGGACACCCTGCTAGTACACACATCTTTATACTGTTTCATGTATCATCATTATCATTGTCATTATCATTCTTACCTTTCATCTTGTACAGCATTATAACACCATTAAAATAGTTTTGATATTGTTATTTACATTTTTTTTTAGCAGTCTTTGGTATCAGTTATACTCTGCTATTGCTAAGCTCAATATTTTTGAAAACATGTGTAAACTTTTAGTTAGCATAATAGCTTATTGGTGCTACTTTTGTAGATTCTTGCAAGATCTTCTGGTGACCGCCAGTTTTGTAGTTTCTATTCTTTCCTCTGTCTAAAAAGTACAAAAACCCAGTGTCTTTTTGCTTTACTGATGAGGCAGCTTCCTTATAAAAACTTCCATTGAGGTAGACAAATAAAAACCAGATTTTGTTTACCAGTGACTACCATATCTGCTAAATGGAACAGTCCAATTACCTGCAGCTGAAATGGCAGGGCTCTACTGTGAATCTGTGATGTCAGTAGGAACACTTGTCTATGTTTATGCATTTCAGTAGATGATAACTTGCTACTCAGTGGATACGATATTATAGTTTCCTACTTCTGGGTGACACAGTGCAGCAGTAGTGTAACAGCTACAAAGAGAGAAGCTGATTGGTCACTATAGGCAACTGCTACAGATTCTGTCTGCTCCAGTTTTGATAAATCCCCCATTATGTATTCTTGTTAAATGCATTAAAGTGGAATTAAATTCCCATAACAAAAAATCTCTAGGCATTGGCAGAAGAGAAATGCAAAGTCTATTTTTCCTTGGCTCCTAACAATTTTTCAGTTCTGTCTACACTGCCTGGCATATGCACTGTGCAGTGCACATTACATCCTAGCTGTGTTCTTGGCATGGCAAGAATTGAACTGAGAAACAATGCAACTCCTCCTGCACTAATGACTGAACATCCAATGGCTGAGGGGCAGTTATGGAAGACTCTGAAGAAGCAGCTACGGAGATGGTGGTGGTAGAAGATGATGTGGCAACAGGATCCTGGATCTCTCTCCAATCAGCTTCACAAGAGCGGAATACAGAAAATCCAAGTTTATTGTTGTAAATTCAAAGTCCAAAGTTTTTGGTAAATACAACATGTACACTACCATAAGATCTGTCCCATTTGAGCTCCTCTCCTGCGTTTCACCACCTGGGCTTAATCATAGAGGTGAAGTCTCTATTCTTCCAAAAGCCTAAATCTGCCGGGTACCGCCCCATCCCACAGGTGATGCAAATAATTATTTTTATGTGATGCCTTTGGTCTTTACCGCCCCGCTCTATGTGTGATCTTTTGACTGGGGTGGGATGCAGTTTGTCGTTCCCCTGTGTATGTTATTTGGAAAGTCTTTCCAGTCCAGTAGGTGAACTCTATGGGTTAATTATCTTTGCATCACCGCATCACGTGTGGAACGGGGCGGTACCTGGCAGATATAGAGACGAAGAATAGAGACTTCCCCTCTATGATTAAGCCCAGGTGGTGAAACGCGTGAGGAGTGCTGGGGTGGGAGAGATTTTATGGTGGTGTACATGTTGTATTTACCAAAAATGTTGGGCTTTGTATTGAATTTACAACAATAAACTTGGATTTTATGGATTCCGGTCTTGAGCCGCTGATTGGAGAGGGAACGATTAAGGAGTCGGAGCACACTGCACCTGGTGTGTATACTGATTTGCAGTCGGAGGTAAGATAGAGTGGTGAGTCTTGGCCTTTTTAGGATCCTGGACCTGTTATCGCTGGATGTCATTGATTTGGCAGGTAAGTGTGCCATAATGTGCTCTGCGTACTTTTACAAAATGGTGAAAAGCCCAGCCACCAGCTTGTGGACTTGAAGGCCTTTAACAAAGCATTATCAAAGCTTTGAGGAAGCTTTTTTGAATTCCTTTAAGCAACTTTTATCCTGTTAAACACAGATCTTAAAGAGGAACTTTACCCATATCTTCAAAATAGTAACAAAGGCACCTTTAGCAATGTTTAGTAATGACAATCTACAAACACATGCTTCTAGATAATTGCGGGCTTTGTATTCTTTGCATACCTTATTTCTCTTTTCTTCCCTAGTCCTTTTACAGTGGCTATTTTTACTAAGGGCAGATTACTAGATCTCCCTTTACTTCTTGGAACTCTGGCACATGTGGCTAGGACATGTGACCATGCACATCATCTCAGGGTGAGGAAATGCCTTTCCCTGAGATCTCATGAGATTACAGATGAGATTTCCCAGCAATGCTCTACGGATGTAACCCTGCCAAGATGCAACACTTGGGCACAATTACATAATGTGTGCCAAAGTGGACCATGAAGTGGGAAAAAGGAAATTGTAAGTAGAATAAAAATATGTTTAGCTAATGAATGTAAGATGATTTCTTATCAGCATGCAGAGCTGTATGCTGATGTGATTTTAGTCAAAGGGGATAAAGGTCAACTTTAATATGAGTGCTGACTATCATCTTAAACAAGCTGCTAGCAGGCTTTCAACAAGTTTGAAGCAATGCTGAACCTTTCTAGCACACTTATGATGATCTGTGTTTATCATCCCCAAACTGAAGGTTTAATAAGGTAATAAAGCAGAGAAGAAGACATTCACCCTGAAGTTGACTATTAAGTGTTGTCTTCCAGTTTGAAGTAACTGAGCTGCTGTTTGTTAAACTGAGTTATTTATTGTAACTGGTTTGTATAGTTTTATTTTACACTGGGTTCTGACAAGTTGTAACTCTTCTTTTAAGGCCAAGATATGTTGATTTACATTCCATCAAATAAAAGTACAGATGCAAATTGCAATGAAAAACAAGAACTTGCTAAAATACAAGAACTGAGAAAGGTAAGCCAATATTTCAAAGAATATTTCTTATTTTTACGAAACATTGAATGATTATGTCTCCTCAGTCTATCCTGTTCAGCAGCAATGGAAAACTTTGTTGTCACCAGAAAACCTGTACCAAGAAAACTACAGTGCCATTGTTTACCTCCTTTTGAGGTCTGTCTTTTGCCTTAATATTTTGAGACACTGACCTGCAACAAGCATGCATATCAGTAAAGTCAGGATAAAGTCTTCACACCAAATATGCACACTTGTTTTGAACAAGTGACTTAAAAAGTACTAGCAGCTAAACAGAACTGAGATTGAGGTAAACTGATTGAGCTTTATGGTTTTAGCACAGTTTCTGGAATCCATTAGTAGCTCACCAGCTGCTTTCACTTGTGTGAAATTGCTCTTTTAAGTGCTATCACAGCTTGATTAACCAGGCCCCCTTTCAGAAGGTATGTTCAGCAATGCCATACAATGCTGACACATTTTCTATAACACACTTAAAGGAGAAGTATTGGGAGATTAAAATATACTCTTCCCAATACTTACAGCCATTACACGCTGGCTTTATATACTGAGAGCTGAGCGATCATAAACCGCTGATCTCTCAGCTCACAGTCTCCTTCCTGTCAGCCACTCCTCCCCCCCCAGGGATTCCTCTCTCCCCTCTGTGTTCCTCCAATGCTCAGTGGAGGGACAGACAGGGGAGGGGGCAGCACAGCTGGCTCTGGCTGTAGAGAGGCAGAGCAAGCTGTCGATCAAGCAGGGGGGTGGATTCTGACAATACTGTTGAGATCCTTACCACCTACAGCGTGGCTCTGTGCTGTCAGTATATAGCGTGTGCTGACTTTGGTTTACAGGAATATATTAGTAAATGTACTCCTGGGACTTAAAGGAGATTTAAAGCCAAAAAAAAAAAAGTTTTTTTTAAATACTCTTTTAGGGCCCGTTCACACTATCCAGTGCGTTCAGGGCACGGTTCCATGCTATGAACACACTGGATTGCATATTCAAAGCCTCCCTGCCTTGTGGGGCGGGTGGGGGCACTGTGGTGCCATCGCAAAAAATAGTGCATGCATGATTATCTAAGATCATTCGCACTACGGGCAGGAGGCGTGCCTGTAATGCCATTGACATGAGTGGCACCACGGCGCTCTCTCCCGCCCAAGAACGAGGCTTTGAATGTGCCATCCAGTGCGTTCCTGGCACGAAACCATGTCCTGAACGCACTGGATGGTGTGAAATGGGCCCATATCACATATCTAGGATACGCAGGACTTCTTACCTTCATGCTATGCATGATGGCATAGTAAACAGTGTGATATTTTTTTTAAACCACACTTCAGATACATTTTTGAAAACCTTTTAAGCTTTTACTTTCAACTTTACTTTCAACTTTCACATTACATGTTAGTAACACACACACACACTGAGATCTGAGAGTTTGGTTTAAGTTCAGCTGAGGAGGTGTCAGCTTCTTCTATTTTTGGAATCCATTTGTAATTTGTCGGCTAGAACTATGAGGTGAGTGAAAAGCACTCACATCATAGTTCTCCTTTAACTTTGTCTTATATCTGAAAGAAAATGAAAACTTATAAACTGTAATACTATTCTTATTTTTACAATGTGTCTATGGTAAATTGCTGCTAAATATTTTTCAGCTCCTGAAATGTTTGTTGCGCTCCTGCAATAATTTGTCATTATTCCTTCTTTCTCATTTTGTCCTCTTAAGCAAGTATTACAATTACTAAACTCATACACAAACAATAACAAGTTGTTTAAGCCTTTTGTGACCAGAAGTCATTGGAGCCTAGATGCTCAGACCAAATTCAGCAGCATCAGTTAGAGTGATTAAAAAATCTATGATAATTTGCCAACCAACAGTAATAATGTTATATTTAAAAAAAAAAATCATATAAAGCTTATTTAAAAAACGGTTTTAATGAAAACCCCACCAATTTAAATATGGGCTGACAAGTGGACAAAATGTAGGGTGTGTATATATATATATATATGTATATATAGTGCAATATAGATGGGTAAGCCTTATTAGTCCATTATTATTAGCCGTATTATACAGTATATTTAATACTTCAATTGTAACTTACAATTACAGTAGTAAACACTGCTATTTTTAGATGGTAGTTGCATTTTCTGTTGTTGTGAATGAACCTCTAGCCTGAATGTAATCAATATGTCATAGCTGACACAGTTATCACATAATAGAAAACCACACTGTTTGGTTTTCATGTGCTAGTTATGAATGAAACTGTCAGCGACTGCCTGGCCTGACACCCAGGAGTCACATACACTGCCGGCAGCTAGCTATCAAAGGGGGGACATAGATTAACTTTTCCTCATTATGAAGTGTTTTTCTGGTGAACATTAATCTAAAGGTTGTGTGCAGAAAGCAGTTAAACCAATTTGGACATTCTTACTACTGTTTGTGCAGGGCACTCATGTTTGATGGTTAAGTATCTGCTCAAAAACGTTGGCCATACAAACAATGCAGTCCAGGCTGCCACATTTCTCTGGCATCCTTGTCCTGGATGCACCCGAAACGTGTAATTGGATATAGAAAAAGAGCGTGAGACATCCTGGCAACTAGTATTTGTAGAAGGCTAGCAATGGCAGTCAACATATTTCTCTCTGTAAAGCTTTCTTTAACCTCTTGCCGTCCGCCCGTAGTAAAAAAACGGACGAGCATCCTAACATATCTAACAATTGGCTTTAGTATAAGTAGTCGTCCTCACTGTAGGTGATGTCAATGCTGGAGAAACATCATGTCTGACTGTAGCAGAATTCATTTACATATGCGTATGGCATAAAAGATTTTGAAACCCACCTTGAAAGTAAAATGTTTAGGGGTTAATGGAAATCCTTGCAGCTTTGCCTGAGTAATCTCGGTGTTTCACAGTAAGGCTATTATTGTTAAGAGGACTGATTCTCTTGGAAGTAGGAACCAAGGACTAAAAAACATATTCTCAGTGCCAGCTAGCATGTGAGACAAAAATGAGCAGTTATTGTTACACGGTTTTCTGATGTGTACAAAGGAGCAATTCATAAGAAAATCAATGCTAAAACAGTATGTCTCTTAAGGATGATTTAATATATTTCAGTCACAAGATTGAAAACTTACTACAACTGTTATTGCACAGTGAAATCATTTTGTGTTCCTTGTTTTCATTCACCAGGCTTACTCCAGAAAATATATTATTTCTCTCTCTGTTAGGTTTTCAGATTTGGAACACTGGCAGGGCAGGCTCACACTGTTATTTTGAATACTTTTTACAATTATTTTCTCACAGTGGGACTAATCCAGCTATTTTTCTGAAATGTACAACAAAGTATAAAGAGCAGCTGATGTTTAAAATAATTGTGTCTTCGCATTTGTATGGATGACATTCATTCAACGTTTGCATATTGATTTAATTGACCTTTAACGCTAAACTCTGGACAGATATAGCATACACACAGGAATGCAGCTCTGTAATCACTTATGCATTAATAAATGTACTTTTAAAAACAAGCAATGTAGGTACCTGTATGTGACCTGGTATTAGTCTCTTGCAGACCCTCTACAGCAGGGCTAGAGTGTAAATGGCACAAACAGTACAAGGAGCTATTCAGTTCATGTGCTGACAAGATGAATGCTGATAGGAAGAGAAAGCAGTGTGACAGAGAGGTAAATTAATTGCTGTGCTGCTTTTTCTTTTACTGCCCAGACATAGGCTGGGGTAAGTTCTGGACTACTTGGGCTCAAAGGAAGTAGGTTGAATGATAGTGGTCATCAAACTGAGAACATCTAGCTACAGGATAAAAAGGACTACAGGGGAAATCTCTGGATTAGAAGTTCATTTTGCAGCAAAAGTTGGCTTTGTTATTTTATCTTATAATGGACTGTTATTGTTATTTTTGACTGGAGTTTTGCTTTAACATACTGTAGCAGAAGGTCAGAAGAGTTTTCTTGGAGGACTGGCCTAGTGATATCCTGCTTACAGTGACTTACCTTCAGTCAAATAACACAAATGGTAGATGTGCTTGGGTATCAATTTATTTTCCATTTAAGCAATCAGCATTCAGCCCAATCAGTTTATATTTAATATGTTCAGCTTCTAGAAAAAAAATCTTATTCTGATCCTTGCCATTCATGTACATTATAGATGCAGCAAGATGTCCAAATTAAAAACCATTAAAGCCCTGTTTGTAAATGTTTTCAAAACGCGTCATATTGTACTTACCTGCCTTCACCAAAACATGATTGCAGCGTGGTTGCACTTATTAAATATCTCACTAGCCAAGAGATTTACTAACCTGATTAGGCCGAGGGTAATAGATACCTGTAGTGCAGCTTTTGTTGACAACATTTTATTACAAACCCTTCAATGTGATCCACTCCAGAAGGTGCAAAACACTTTTCTCCTGATCATCACGCTGCCTTTCTAATTACACACACCTGAGCATAATCAATGAACTCTTGTAATGGATTTGCTTCAATCTCAGGTAAGTGTAATCAGAAAGGCAGAGAGGTAATCAGGAGGAGAGTGACTTGTACCTGCTGGAGTGGGTCATGTTCGAGTGTCCGTTATTATGAACATTTCCTCTTCAGGTGACAGGGAACAACTTCTGGAATTACATATATATATATATATATATATATACACACACACACACACACACACACACACACACACACACACACACACACATCTGGTACAAGACACTATTATCATATTTTCATATTTAAATAGTTTCACCACTTATTGAAATAATTAGATCTCAAGGTATGTATTTCTAATGCAAAAAATGGGGATACATAAGAAACTTATTATTGTTCATATATTCATAGCACTAACATATTTCTCAACATTGATTGTGCATAGATTCAATGATATATTCACATGTCCCTGAAGGAGCTTCATGCTAATATGTCTACTACACTCATAAAATCACACACATTCTATACACAAATTATACATTCACAGACTCTCCAACAAGGCCTACTACTATAGAAGTTCACTTTCTGATCATACTCACCTGACATTTAGGACCCATTTGTATCTGTGTACTGTGTTAACACAATCATGTTAAGTCACACGTTAACTTCTGTTGCATTACGACAGCCTGTTCATTTAAATTGGCTGCCAAACACATAATAAAAAGCATTAAAAAAGGTTGCAAGCACCATTTTTAGCAATTGGGTTGCACCAGAATGTGTAGTAGTGAGTTGCCACCGCATAATGTGAATCTGTCCTTAAAGCCAAACACACTAAAAAGCATTAGAAAGGTTGCAAGCACTATTTTTTGCAATTAGGTGCACCACAATGTGCAGTAGTGAGTTACCACAGCATAATGTGAATCTGTCCTTAAAGCCAAACTACAGGCAGATGTAAAAGACACACATTCATGCAATTTACATTTGAGCAATGTAATTACCTGAATTTGACTTGGTATCAGCCTCATGCAGTCCCTGCAGAGCAGAACCCAGAAAGGGTAGGCAGAAGCAGCATAGGCAGTGAATCAGTTCAAGGAACATTCTTATAGGAGGAGAAAGCAGAGTGACAGAGAGGCTCATCAACTTGCTGCTCACTGTCCAGTCACAGGGTGGAGGTTGGGAAAACACCTGTAAATGAAAAAGAAACTGCAGTAGAGAAAGACCATGTCCCCTCCCCTGTCAGGCCGGTAGGACTCTGCTAGGTTTCGGGGGGTTGGGATGTGACCATGTTTCATTTTACAACTTGAATATGGGTGTAGCATGAAATATGGTATTAAAGTTAAACTTTAAGCCCACTAATTTCATAATACAACTCCTTTCCTTGTGCATGATAAAAAGCTCATTCTAAAAAAACCTTTACATTGTATTAGTTTAGTAACCTGAATATGTCATATTTTGTAGATAAACATCATACCAAGAATCCAACAACTGCTCTGTGAGAAAAACAAGATCTGTGAAATGGTTGCCATTTTTCCAGGTATTGCTTGAGAATTAACTTAATTGATGTTTTGAAATAGCTTTTTTTATGGGTTTTTGGAAGACTAATCGTGTAATCATGTATGTCATAGATTATGTAATCGTGGCATTGATTTCAATGCTGTTATGTATCAAGAATGTAGAATTAACATTTGACAATTTTTTCTTTATGATTCATTTTATGAAGAAACCTATACATAAATAAAATATTAGGATGGGTTTGATATAGCACTATAAAAATGACTTTCCGGTCCTCTGATGAAATTCACTTTCAGCAGCAGTGTGGAATTTGGCAGGGCTAAACCTGCACCACTGCACTTTTCTGAATGATTCAGATCACATATAGAAGAATTTAGCTGCAATGAGAAAAATGTGGTTTAAGCTCTTGCTTGCCATCTGCTGACGGAATTAGGAAAAGATTTGGATTCTTTGTAATGCAATAAATGTGAAAAATACAGGGTCTATAATTCTGACCTACTGACTTACAATACTTTCTAAGTCTGGAACAAGTATGCAGATTAGGAAAGTCAGGGAAAAGTAGTTATCTGCATGCATTTTCTGTGTCATGGGTGTTCATTGACGTTGTACTAAAGGCAAATAGGTTGTTCACTTTGCATGGGAATTCTACCTTAGCAAATATGGTGAAAAGTCGATTTGCAAAGAATACCCAATCACATACATAGAAAATAGTAGTAAAAGAAAATAGTGTTTTTGCTTGCTCATGATTGCATGATGGAAGTCAGCAGACTGTTGCAAAGTGAATGGCCTATTTGCCTTTAGTAACTTAACCCCATTGACTCAAAGTATTGAAGCCAGACGGTCAATAGCATGGCCGAATACAACTAGCATTTGCAGAATAAACTCAGCAATGGCAGCCTTTATGTTTCCTTTAAAGCATCACTAGATGTACTACTGCATTTAGGCATGTTACTATAACTTTGATATGATTTGTAATGTTTACTTAACCGTTGTGTACATGGGTGAAATTAATGTTGGGCACTGCTACACAAACACTGTATTTATAAAAATATACAGTATGTAAAAAGGTGAAAGGGCAAAACTGGTAGATCCTTCTCTGTTTCTGCATCTGTTTAACAGTTGTAAAATGCACAATGCTAATTATAAGGTTATCTACTTTATACATGTTTCCCGGTTAAATACATTCAGTTAGTGTCTTACATAGATTTAAAGCCCAACTCCAGACTTGACCTTCTACCAGTCACCTCCCCCTGATTCCCTGTGTATTTTTTTTATACTTGCCTGTTTTAGAAGTCTTGAGACCAGTCCTGTGCCATACTGGATTATTTTTTGAACTTCTCTAGTGGTGGGTGGTCCTTGATGCATAGAGCTGTTTGCAGTGCTTTATGCATCATTACATTGTGAGTGCAGGGCACTGTGGTGAAGGTAGGGCCTTTGCAATCCTACACTCACAGGTATCTCCTTTGCAGTTACTGTAGCAAAAGCTGCTTTTATTTTTATTTATTTCTCCTGGGGGATATATTAATTAATAAAAAAAATAAAAATAGCCCAGAGGTGGCCTTTAGGCAGCCAAAGGGTTTGTGTAAATCCCACAAACTCTTAAGGCAAATATAGAGATTAGAGGGTGGTAAGCACACAGGCATAATTTGACATTCTATAAGCAATTGTGCTAGGTGCCAGGTTCTCAAACATGATTGGTTAAGTGTTCAGCTGTTCATGGTAAAACTATTGAAATGAGTGAGGAGGAGAGCTGCAGAGGCCTCTGCCACCAGCTTATCAAGGAGGAAATTGTAGTGATTACTCCTGTTGGAACAATCACTGTGTAACCCAAGATCTGTTGGCCAAGGTATATCTGTAAAAAATAACTCAAGGCAACTGGGTGTTAGTTGCAGAGAGGTGTTCAGAAAATATTCTGAAACATAACAAAGGTACCTGCAAGAACTCTGTAGTGCCTGAATTTAAGCAACAGATTTATTCTTCCCTGTCTACTGTTTTATAATACAATTAATTAGTTAAATATTTTTTCTATAGAACTGGCAAACCTTTCAGTGTGTTCAATGCAATCTGAAAAGTCACGGGTCTGGAAGAAGACATTTTCAAATCTTGTTCTGCCAAACCTTAGTAAAAAGAATCAGGATTTAAAAGCTTGGGACATAAATCCTTTACTGGAAACATTTTTGTAAGTACAAGTAGCGATTTTTTTGACTGCCGAATACTTTACTTCATCTAAAGAAACATTTCTAGTATAATTGTATACAACCAACCACTGCTTTCCTAAAATTACAATCTTTGTTTTCTAAAACGTCAGAATGTGTTCTGTAATTAAGAAACAAAAAGAGTTTGTTTGGTTTTTCTTTTTTATTTGATGTTACCTATATTTATTTAACAGTTTCTATAACAATTTAAAAGAAGTTTACAATGAGGATCTAGTTTATTGTTGCTCTATCCAAATATTCAATACCCCCAGTGACATTTTCATAATCAGATGATTAAAATTACAGCTATTTTTTAGAAGTTTAGATTATGTTCTAGAAAGTAGATAAAGGTTGTGATTGATCAAATCCCAGTATATTGTATAGCATTTTTGATGCCGTAATCATTTAAAAGTGTATGTCTAGCATTTTATTTGTTAAAAATCAGTAAAAGATGCTTTAAAATTAAATTGTTCATTCTGGTCTAGGTGCAAAAATAACAGTTATACTAACCCAATCCTTGGAGCCAACTTGCTCTTAGATTGGTCCTTCCAGCCTCTCCCCCCCCCCTGCTCCAGCAGTCTAAGGTCCAATGAGTCATCACGTCCTATATATATACACATATAAACAACCTCATATACATATATATAAGGTTGTTTAGCAAGATGCAGGCTGAAGTCACTGACCCCAAAACAGCTTCTTTAAGAGAGTAATCTATAAATCTCTTAATTTGATACAAAAATGAAAGACTATAAAGAAAGCATGTTAAAAAAGCCATAACAAAAGTTACCTTAAGGTAAACACAGAAAATAAACTATATACAAATAGCGTATACTTCCTTTTAATTTGAATCTGTGATTATTGCCAGTACCAGACTTATCATAAAATCCACACTTATGATGAATGGTAAGCACCATAATTTGTTAGGTTTCCAGTTCTGATAACATTGTAAGTGTGGATTTATAAATATCACACTTAGGCCACATTCACACACGAATCGGCCTGCACCTACAGCCCCATGCTGCGTGCGGGGCCATACCAAGTAGCTGCCGGGAAGGACAGGTGCTGCGTGTGATTAGAACGCAGCCCCCGTCCTTCTCTATGGGGATACGCGGCCGTACGACCCCCTACGCTCAACTCATTTGCAGGTACATACCATCATTTGTTTTATTTTCCAATTGTGATACCAGCCTCCATGGCTACCCTTTCAGAACACAAGCCTGCTGAGGAACATTTCTACAATGTATTTGTCCCCAGTATACTGGTAAGTGGGTAATTGGATCACTTACGGTTACCCTGAGGAAGGCATTAGATGTAAGTAGGGATCTTCAGATACCAGTTCAGATACCAGTGCCGATTTGTCATGAGAACTACCAGGGTCGCAGCGTTTGCAGTTGTGACTGGGCCCTGGCGCTCCACCACTGTCCTGCAATCATTAGTCTGTATTGTTTTAGAAAAACTGTCACATGACACTAACCAAAACTGTGTCAGTAATTGTATCTGTGAGTACTTGGATAAGTATCGGTACTTGGTCTGGAAAAAATGGTATCGGTGCATCCCTAATAAGTAACAAATCATACATTAAAACAGGGATGCACAAATCCCAGGAGCCCCGTATGACAGCTGCCTCCTAACTTTTGAGTTTTTCACTAGTCTATTGGAGCTGGAAAGTTTCTGTACTTGTACTTACAACAAGTATGGTACTTGGTATATGAACATCCCTAGATATAAGACAACCAGTTAACAAAATAAAAATGTAAAAAATGGACCACAAGTTTCTTTTGAGTTTACATGTCCTATGCCAGAGCTAATTGGCAGGATTTAAAGCAAAACTAAACCCTCCTATCCTCAATCTCAGCCTATATGTAGATCTACTTACTAGTTACTATTAGATTAGGTTACTATTAGTTAGATCTAGTTACTATGATACTGCACATGTGATTGGCTATGACAACAACCATTTAAGGGCTTTAGTTCGGTTGAGTACTGACATAAGCATGCTGGAAACTGTGACATTTATGACCAAAGGCAAGTCTTGAATGTAGCATACACTATGCATGCACTAGTAGACAGAATGCAAAAACTGCAGAAAACATGGACAAAGCAGAGATTAGCTGTAAAGAGTCTGCTTGTTCTTGCTCTTCACTCTAGTATTGACCTAACATGCACAATTGGTATGATCATGTATAATTATGGAAAGAACTCACAAAGGAAAGATTTTTCAGTGGTCAGTTTATGCTTTTACTTCAATTATTCTTTGGCCAGCTTTAGAGCCACAGCAGTGGTAACATGCAAATGCCACTTTATCTAATGTGACTTTCCTCCTTCAGTAATGACTTAGTAATACCTTACTGGTTTGGGCAGCAAAGGAGACATTTCATAGAAAAAAGTGAGTTAAGTGTCATTGATTCTGTCACCGGCAAGTTGTCACCAGTGAGAGAATTAATGACATAGGCCTTATGTTGGCCACATACATATCAAAGTTGTCATCACGTCACAGACAAAAGACCTTTCATTCCATCAATTTAGTGAGCTCTAGTTTTATTTTGAATTTGAATTTTGACAGTCACTTCTAACTGATCAAACTAATGTCCACGTGTGTAGGACAATTGATCTTAATACAAACTGATTAAAATATTGTTTTTAATCATTTCGTTTTATGACTGATAGATCGGATTTGCAATTGCAATGTGTAGGAAAGTGCTTTGTATGTTGCACCACTTGTTTGTGATTGCTCATACTAGATTGATCTCAATTTTCCACATGCATGGCCACCAATAGACTGGCAAATAAGAAAAAAAATAACAATATTTGAATAATTAGTGCAAATGATTTAAGTATAACTTTTGACAAGTCCTTTTATTTTGATTGGTCACTTAATGCCAAATCCTCTGCATTGTGGCAGAATTGAGAACAAAAATTAAACAATGCTCCCAACAGTGCATCATCTCCACCAAGGGTCACATGCTTTTCAATGAGATAGTCTGCAGTTAATATCACTTGCAGTAAGGATAGCTAGTTTCAGAATCCAGTGAGATATATTTATTGATATCATTATGCAGCATGTATTTAATATGGAAGTTATCATCCATATGTCTGATTTTAAGTAGTGACATGTGCTGAAATATATTTTTATTTCATATTATATATGTTACAGAAATGTATCATTCCACCACCACAAACCATCACCAGGCTCTCCACTTGTCAGGGTTTTTGTACTAATTACATCATTATCACCACTACGTGCATTTATTCATTCCACTGCAATGGTTCAGGACCAACCCAACAAGCCATTCACTACAATGAAGGTAAGTCTTGTTTTAATATCATATGATGGGTACAACTCTGTCCTTAATGCAAGCTATTCTCCATACATACTGTACTTCTACTTGTAGCATAAAATATGCTGGTATTCAGTAATATTTCTTATTTAGAAACATCATACGCTCTGCATGCTGCACACTTCTTTTCTCAGGAAAAACAAAGCTGCAGTGCTGTATTTTCCCAGTGGGTGGCTCTGAGACATTTTGGTGCTAATCTATTTTACCATACAGTGGAAATTGAACTGAATTGGACTACAATGGTTCCATTTTAAATCATATTAAAATGCTGCCCAGACTCTGTGGCTGTGGTGGGACCTGCTAAGGTTGAGTGCTTAAAGTGCCAGCAGTCAACAACAGCCAAAATTAAGGACTCTGACCAATTGTTGAATTGATGTTATGTGACATCATCTGGATTTTCTGTAATTCCAATGGATATCTTTGATAGGGCAGGGTTTGACAGCAGTGACCCATAGATCATAACACAAAAAATTTAATAAATTGCTGTAGAAAAGTAAAAATCAAAAATAATTGAACATTAACCCCCATTATGCTTTAGGGCCCATTCACACTTCTCTTTTCCTGTACCTTGCGTTAACACACGTATTAACACGTCTCATGTCATGCATTAACATTTGTTGCTTTCAGGCAACCCATTTATTTTGAATAGGCTGCCAACACATAGGAACAGACCAGTGGCGACTCTAGGAACAATATATAGGGGGGCACATAAGATACCACAGTCAAAACGGGGGGGGGGGGGCCCCAACATTTAGC